ATGAGTGTGTGTGTGTGTATAGTACTTACCATTCCATATATACTGTATTAATGATGAAGGAGGTCTTCTCTTCCAATAGTATCATTCCCACAATAGGAATAATAATAAATAAGTAAGTAGTACCAATAATAAGATCGCCCATTGTTATATTAGTGTTGTCAGTAGTCCTGGATTCATGATGAGTATTGTTACTATTAATAGTGACATTATAATGGTCTATGCATAGTTCTTGTGCTGGAGTCCAGTTAATAAATAATGACAATGTGCCATTAATTCGTTTAATTGTTGTATCATTAACTGGTAGTAAGGTTAATGGTGGATCTATAGTGTAACAAGAACATAAAAATTTAAAAAAAACAAGATTGAGTAGGATTCTAGAGCAAAATTGGTAAAAAGTAATGGAAACAAGGACAGGCAGGATTCAGAGCGACCAATGACAATACGAAATGAAAATCCTACTCTCGTGATGCAAATTCTACTCTACATTGTGCTTTTAATGTTATTATGTAAGAATTATGGATCACCTTGTCATGTAGAGTAGAATTTGCGTCAAGAGAATTGGATTTTCATTTTGTATTGTTGTTGGTTGCTCTGAATCCTACCTGTCCTTGTTTTCATTACTTTTTACAAATTTGCTCTAGAATCCCACTCAATCTTGCTTTTTTAAATTTTTATGTTCTTGTTTATGATTATTTTTTAATAATATTTGTAATATTTCTTCAGTTGCAATTGTAATACTTGTTGTATTTAACCAAACAATGATTTTCTTTATAATTGCTAATTACTTTACAGCTTTTATGAGAGACAGCATTGAATAGATATGCTGATCAAATATCTACTATACTGATGACAAGTAAAATTAATATTATAGCCTTGACATGAGTCCTTGTTCAAGAGCTCTATCTTCCCTGCAATCCTGTATCTATTCCTGTTCCTCGTCTTTAAACATTTAATAAAAAAATAATATGCAAGATTAATACTTTCTTTTAGCTGAAAACCTCCCGGCACTAAGTATTGCAATTGATTCCAAGCATAGCTATCCTTAAAGGCCTCCATACACTAGGCAGCATGTTGCTAGCAACATTTGTGGTTACTTTGATCTTGTAAGCAACATGTTGCCAGAAATAGAAGGCTGTTCTATTTCAGGCAACATGTTGCTTACAGGAAAAAAGTAACCACAAATGTTGCTAGGAACATGTTGCCAAGTGTATGGAGGCCTTTAGCTATTAAAAATTGCTTGCTTTTCCTAGTTCTAAGATCTGAGCATGTACAACCACACCCAAATTTTGGAGCCTCAACCTCATGCTTAAATGGCGACAGGAGCATAGTTGGCCTGATACAGCAGTTATAACGTCACTTATTCATTTCTTAGAGAATGATTTTAGGGGAAATGGATCCACACATAGACTGTTGGAGTATAGAATGGTTTAAGAATTAGACTTCTAGCACTAGTCAAGATCGAGATACAGCTCATACACTATTGATGATGATGATGATGATGATGAAAATGAAAATGGTTTCTGAACAATGAACATAACAGCCGTTTTCCCGATTTTTGAGTTTCCTTTTAGACAAAGTTTAGAGCCACGCTAGTGGTAGCAATGGAGTCCTCTGGTCAAGATAAGGTCCTCTATAAAGTCTGGTAAGCATAGGAGCTCGTTTTCCCAGTATAGCAAGGCTGCAAAAGTCAAGGCAGCCATTTTGAAGTCGAGACTGAGAATCCTACTTAGTAACGCTAGCACGTCCAACCATAGGTAGTCAATTGTCCACAGGACTATTAACTATCTCTGGTTTAACTTACTAATAATTATATCATAGTGACTGAATTCACATAATGTCTAACCTGTTACGTTAATTCTTAAGCAAAAAAAATTTCTATCAGCTCCTGCACAGCTAATAGTAATTCCATCCAATGATATTGACAGTGATGAAATAATGGCAAGACTCCTTAAGGCACTTCCAGTAACCGCAGTAACTAGTATACTAAACTTAAAACTAGTTTCTTGTCCATACGTACTACTTCTGTTTGCTAATTCAATTATTGTTCCACTATCACTTATTTTCCACAAGGCAGTAGCATTGCCAGTTGTAGCATTAGTTACACACTCTATTTCTAGCCTAGCTCCAGTACATGGTACAACACCAGGATCAGGAACTGTTTGACCAAAGTGTAGTACAGTTGCTAAAGAAATCAAGCTTCAATAATGAAGTATTGTAAACTTAAAGACTTACTAGATCCAATATTTAGCAAGATTACGAAATAAATTAGTCCAAGCATTTGTCTTGTTGCATACCTGGTGTGATGATACTTTTATTGTAGATTCAATTGTAATCATTGCATCATTATGGGCGTGGTTTTGTTATTGTCACATGCACAGACTACTGAGACTAAAGTCCATTTGCATTCACCTGAGCCCAGGAAGTGATTAGAAACCCCACCCAATAATTAACACAATGCAATAATATTGTGAAAAGTATGCATGTCTAGAAATATGCGGTCATCCTTCCGTATATCCTCTTACTACAATCCGTAATTGTAAACCACGGGAGTCTCTTTACTTGTATGGAGTCAAGCAAGTAAATGCCCATAAATTGTGAGCAAAGCCGTTCACACAGATTGTTAACTTGCTATAACAATCATTATAAACATTATTTTCTTCTTTAGGGATATCTAGTCTCTGCCATGTAATTTCACCGGTACTTTTCAAGCGTAAAGAACTGCCATTGGACTTCACAGTGACCGTTTAATACTTATTCTTTTTAATACTTCTTAATTTAATTATAAAATTATTTCTCATTTTGTTAAGATTGTATGATACAGTATACAACCTAAGGAATGTACTTATAATTAGGACATCACAGAAACGAGTAAATAGAGATGTACTTAGGTGTCTTTTGTGAAGGGTGGTACATTGTGATTATTCATTAATAACTATTAATAATTTTTAATTAACTCCCGCGGGAACTATTTATATTATTCCAGACGATGAATCTGCAAGTAACTCTAAGATGTACTTCCAGTAACAAGCACCGAAGAGTAAGCTCTGAAGATGTTGTGTGCTGCCTTGAGGTCCCGAATGAGCTACTGTGTCACTGGCAAAAGTCCAAACAAAAGAATATTGTAAAGAGCATTGCTGAGAGTGGCATCAAGAGAGATGAACACAGAAAAACAGTCGAACCACTGCTAGCAAATGTTTCTGGACCAGGGTCCTTGGAAGAAAGAATGCAGACAAGAGGAAGAATTCTGCTGAGCGCTCTTTCTCAGTTATCTAGAAAAAAGAAGAAGTCTTTGTTGAGTAAATCGATACTCATTGATGTCCGAACTCGTGATATAGTGCCAGTAGATTCACTCCGGTAACCGGACGTAGTTTGCAATGCTAGAGCTCCGGCAGTCCGTTTTTCTCCGTAAAACAGCTTGTGCGCATGCGCAATAGTGCAAAATGGAACTTAGTCTTTTTATCAAGAAACACTAAACCCTAACCCCAAAACCCTACGATCCCTGAGGCTAAGATGTACGAGAGGGTGCTCTAAAAACTAAACCCCAATCCCAACCCTACGACCCCGGAGGCTAAGATGTACGAGAGGGTGCTCTAAAAACTAAACACTAAACCCCAATCCCAACCCTACGACCCCGGAGGCTAAGATGTACAAGAGGGTGCTAATTCTTGACCCAAAAAAAAGCCAAAAAGAAAAAAATTGTAAAAAAGATATTTTTAAAAAAGAAAAAAAATCAAAAACTGAAGCATAGCTTTACTCGGTAGTCCTGACCGGATTCGAACCCTTGACCTTATCCGTGCAATCCACACCAGCCTCTCCACTGCACCACCACGACCCTGCTGCATCATCAACGCTGGTAGTTGTATTTATACTCGGTTTCTATAATATGAATCAGTGTATTATTAATACTGGGGCGTAGCCCCAGTATATAGGGGCAACGCCCCTATTACCGGAGCTCTAGCACTGCATACTGTTGATTTCAGTTCAAATGGAACACCCGGACCGTGGCCGGGTCAGCCATTTTTATCACGTGAGCTTACTTTCAGAATGACCGGATCCCGGGCCCGGTCCGCCCGGGTGTTCCATTTGAAGTGAAATCAACAGTACTATGTCCGGTTACCGGAGCTCTAGACACTTCCTTTCTTCATTGAGCCATTCAGTTGATGCACTCAGGTAAACAATAATATTAGCCAATTGGCTATTAGTTACTTCTACATGCTACATAATATATAGATCAGATCTAAATCAGAAAGATGAAATTATAAAGGAAACAATGGCAAAAGTTTTGGAATTAACTAGTGTGACAAATGCACAAAAGGCAGGGAAAAGTTTTGATGATGTGGGAAAGAGGCAACAAAGAAGAAAAATAATGGCAATAAAAGAAGCAACCAAAAAGGCATTACTCTTTTTGGACAGCTTTAAAATAGATGCACAGTCCATTATATTGAAGTCTCAAGTGTCGAAAGAAACCATGACCATTCCCCTATCATCATCATCACACACAAAGAGCAGCATTAATACTTCATCCTGTTCATCTGAAAATACAATCGATGAAGTGCTATTTCTCCTAGACAGTTATGGCATATCAGATGAGTTCTACCACGAACTGTCTATGATACATACCTCTCTTCCACGTTCGTACCTCGTAAAACAAAGACGAAACAATATCTCGACCAATATACCAAGTTATCGTCTACCAAAACCATACTTTGGCTGCTACAGATCATTAAAAGAATCAATAATAGAGGTATTGTCTTTTATGGTAAAAAATTCTTATTAATAATTATTTGTATAAGGTTTTATAAATATTTACAATGTACATATAGGAAACAATTCAGTCCCCAGTACT